CTCAAGGAAGGATGAGGATTTGGTAGCACTTGCTTAACATGAAGACTGCAACACAGTTTTTGAATCACAGATTCAAAAACACGGTGGTATTTGCCTTTAGCCTCTGATGCTCAACACAACCCAGACCTGCCTCTTGGGAGCAGGTGGGGGCTCCAGCCAGAAGTACATCCCACGTGCTCAGCACCAAGGCCTCCAAAAGAAACCCAGGAAACCCAGAATGTTTTAAAACTTGCCTTTGTCTTCCCCAGGAGATGTGCTCAGGGTGTTGCCTACGCTTACAGCAGCACCCAGAGGCTCTCGCCTCAGTCAGGTGCTGCCACTCAATCCTTCCTTACGTCCACACCACAAACTCAAGGTGGTCTGTCCTTCATTACTGACCACCAGGAGGGAAGGGGCACTCCTACACCTGCAGCGGAGGCCTGAGCCCTGGCTGCTGCCCCCACAGGGGTGGGGCTGTGGGGCAAGCATGGCTGGGGTGGCACTGAGGGTGTCCGAGGTGGCTACTGAAGGTATTTGGCACTGAGGGTGGCCAAAGTGGCAATGCGGATGCCCAAGGTGGCTACTGAGGGTGCCCAAAGCGGCAATGAGGGTGCCCGAGGCAGCTACTGAGGGTGCCTGAGGCAGAATTAAGGATCCTGAGGTGGCTACTGAGGGTGCCTGAGGCGGCAATGAGGGTGGACAGGGAGGCAGGGTGGGCACACTGGGCATGTATGGAGGCAGGGTTGTGCAAGCCTGGAGTGTGGGAAGGCAAGGTGGGCACACGAGGGGTGTGAGGCACTTGTGAGGCACCCAGCCATGGCAGGAAGCTCCCCCACAGCAGGGACTTTCCCCTCAGGGCCTTTTCAGCCCCAGCCTCCAGCCAGAGCCCCTCTCCGGCGGGTTTAATCCCAAAAAAACCCACGATGGTTTATAACACCCAGCCTTTCCCCTCAGGGATTATCTCCATTCCTGCCCAGGCGCTGCCGGGCCACCTCAAAAACTACCCTAAAGTAAGGTGAAGCCGGCCTGGCGCTGCCGGGGAACGGCTGCGGGGGTGGACGGACGTGGGGGGGGACGACACACACAGAGAGACCAGGCCCCGCCGGGCCGCCTTTTCCCGCCGCGGGCTGAGGAAAAGCCGCAGGTGCATCCGGGCGGCGGTGGGGGGGAGGACAAGAAGGAGGAGGAGAAGAAGCGGCGGACATAAAGGGCGGCGGCACCTGCAACTTACCATCGGTAGCACCCCTCGCTGGCCTCCAGCGTGAAGTTGACGCGGGTGCCGCGGGTGAAGGGCAGCAGCACCCTGGGGATGTTGAGCTTGGAGGAGGCGGTGGTGAGGTGAAGGGAAAGGAGAGGGAGGAGGAGGAGAAGAGGCAGGGAGGGAGCCATACTCCGGTGGGGGCGGGAAAGGGCGGCTGAACCGGCGGCGGAGGGACGTTAACGGCAGGGCAGGGCGCGCGCCCCCGGGGGGCGGAGGGGCCGAGGAAAGGGCCGGGCCAGGCGCGCGCCCCAGGGGGGCGGAGGGGCCGAGGAGAGGGCCGGGCCTGCCCCGAACGGGGGAAATTACACAGCCACGTGCAGCTCCTCCAGTAACTTCAACTTCTGGAGAAACTGTGATTACTGCTCTTGTGTGCAAATGCCCTCAAATGTGTCAACTGTCACAGATCAAAGGCTTGTAACCAGCCCAGGGATGAGAACTGCAGGACCACCAGGTAAAGAAATCAATAGAGAGTGAAAACACAGCCCTACAAGATGTATTTCAGTAACTGTCAGGCACAATATAACAACTGAAAACTGCTACTCGCATCCATCTGGCGTGTACAGAAGCATCTTCCCAAACGTATCTCGACTGCCACATTTTTTTCAGGTGGGTACCTCCTGCTCGTTACTGATCCAAATTACAATTCTGGTACGCTCAAGGAAGGATGAGGATTTGGTAGCACTTGCTTAACATGAAGACTGCAACACAGTTTTTGAATCACAGATTCAAAAACACGGTGGTATTTGCCTTTAGCCTCTGATGCTCAACACAACCCAGACCTGCCTCTTGGGAGCAGGTGGGGGCTCCAGCCAGAAGTACATCCCACGTGCTCAGCACCAAGGCCTCCAAAAGAAACCCAGGAAACCCAGAATGTTTTAAAACTTGCCTTTGTCTTCCCCAGGAGATGTGCTCAGGGTGTTGCCTACGCTTACAGCAGCACCCAGAGGCTCTCGCCTCAGTCAGGTGCTGCCACTCAATCCTTCCTTACGTCCACACCACAAACTCAAGGTGGTCCGTCCTTCATTACTGACCACCAGGAGGGAAGGGGCACTCCTACACCTGCAGCGGAGGCCTGAGCCCTGGCTGCTGCCCCCACAGGGGTGGGGCTGTGGGGCAAGCATGGCTGGGGTGGCACTGAGGGTGTCCGAGGTGGCTACTGAAGGTATTTGGCACTGAGGGTGGCCAAAGTGGCAATGCGGATGCCCAAGGTGGCTACTGAGGGTGCCCAAAGCGGCAATGAGGGTGCCCGAGGCAGCTACTGAGGGTGCCTGAGGCAGAATTAAGGATCCTGAGGTGGCTACTGAGGGTGCCTGAGGCGGCAATGAGGGTGGACAGGGAGGCAGGGTGGGCACACTGGGCATGTATGGAGGCAGGGTTGTGCAAGCCTGGAGTGTGGGAAGGCAAGGTGGGCACACGAGGGGTGTGAGGCACTTGTGAGGCACCCAGCCATGGCAGGAAGCTCCCCCACAGCAGGGACTTTCCCCTCAGGGCCTTTTCAGCCCCAGCCTCCAGCCAGAGCCCCTCTCCGGCGGGTTTAATCCCAAAAAAACCCACGATGGTTTATAACACCCAGCCTTTCCCCTCAGGGATTATCTCCATTCCTGCCCAGGCGCTGCCGGGCCACCTCAAAAACTACCCTAACGTAAGGTGAAGCCAGCCTGGTGCTGCCGGGGAACGGCTGCGGGGGTGGACGGACGTGGGGGGGGACGACACACACAGAGAGACCAGGCCCCGCCGGGCCGCCTTTTCCCGCCGCGGGCTGAGGAAAAGCCGCAGGTGCATCCGGGCGGCGGTGGGGGGGAGGACAAGAAGGAGGAGGAGAAGAAGCGGCGGACATAAAGGGCGGCGGCACCTGCAACTCACCATCGGTAGCACCCCTCGCTGGCCTCCAGCGTGAAGTTGACGCGGGTGCCGCGGGTGAAGGGCAGCAGCACCCTGGGGATGTTGAGCTTGGAGGAGGCGGTGGTGAGGTGAAGGGAAAGGAGAGGGAGGAGGAGGAGAAGAGGCAGGGAGGGAGCCATACTCCGGTGGGGGCGGGAAAGGGCGGCTGAACCGGCGGCGGAGGGACGTTAACGGCAGGGCAGGGCGCGCGCCCCCGGGGGGCGGAGGGGCCGAGGAAAGGGCCGGGCCAGGCGCGCGCCCCAGGGGGGCGGAGGGGCCGAGGAGAGGGCCGGGCCTGCCCCGAACGGGGGAAATTACACAGCCACGTGCAGCTCCTCCAGTAACTTCAACTTCTGGAGAAACTGTGATTACTGCTCTTGTGTGCAAATGCCCTCAAATGTGTCAACTGTCACAGATCAAAGGCTTGTAACCAGCCCAGGGATGAGAACTGCAGGACCACCAGGTAAAGAAATCAATAGAGAGTGAAAACACAGCCCTACAAGATGTATTTCAGTAACTGTCAGGCACAATATAACAACTGAAAACTGCTACTCGCATCCATCTGGCGTGTACAGAAGCATCTTCCCAAACGTATCTCGACTGCCACATTTTTTTCAGGTGGGTACCTCCTGCTCGTTACTGATCCAAATTACAATTCTGGTACGCTCAAGGAAGGATGAGGATTTGGTAGCACTTGCTTAACATGAAGACTGCAACACAGTTTTTGAATCACAGATTCAAAAACACGGTGGTATTTGCCTTTAGCCTCTGATGCTCAACACAACCCAGACCTGCCTCTTGGGAGCAGGTGGGGGCTCCAGCCAGAAGTACATCCCACGTGCTCAGCACCAAGGCCTCCAAAAGAAACCCAGGAAACCCAGAATGTTTTAAAACTTGCCTTTGTCTTCCCCAGGAGATGTGCTCAGGGTGTTGCCTACGCTTACAGCAGCACCCAGAGGCTCTCGCCTCAGTCAGGTGCTGCCACTCAATCCTTCCTTACGTCCACACCACAAACTCAAGGTGGTCCGTCCTTCATTACTGACCACCAGGAGGGAAGGGGCACTCCTACACCTGCAGCGGAGGCCTGAGCCCTGGCTGCTGCCCCCACAGGTGTGGGGCTGTGGGGCAAGCATGGCTGGGGTGGCACTGAGGGTGTCCGAGGTGGCTACTGAAGGTATTTGGCACTGAGGGTGGCCAAAGTGGCAATGCGGATGCCCAAGGTGGCTACTGAGGGTGCCCAAAGCAGCAATGAGAGTGCCTGAGGCAGCTACTGAGGGTGCCCGAGGCAGCAATGAGGGTGGACAGGGAGGCAGGGTGGGCACACTGGGCATGTATGGAGGCAGGGTTGTGCAAGCCTGGAGTGTGGGAAGGCAAGGTGGGCACACGAGGGGTGTGAGGCACTTGTGAGGCACCCAGCCATGGCAGGAAGCTCCCCCACAGCAGGGACTTTCCCCTCAGGGCCTTTTCAGCCCCAGCCTCCAGCCAGAGCCCCTCTCCGGCGGGTTTAACCCCAAAAAACCCCACGATGATTTATAACACCCAGCCTTTCCCCTCAGGGATTATCTCCATTCCTGCCCAGGCGCTGCCGGGCCACCTCAAAAACTACCCTAAAGTAAGGTGAAGCCGGCCTGGTGCTGCCGGGGAACGGCTGCGGGGGTGGACGGACGGGGGGGGGGACACACACAGAGAGAGACCAGGCCCCGCCGGGCCGCCTTTTCCCGCCGCGGGCTGAGGAAAAGCCGCAGGTGCATCCGGGCGGCGGTGGGGGGGAGGACAAGAAGGAGGAGGAGGAGAAGGAGGAGGAGAAGAAGCAGCGGCGGACATAAAGGGCGGCGGCACCTGCAACTCACCATCGGTAGCACCCCTCGCTGGCCTCCAGCGTGAAGTTGACGCGGGTGCCGCGGGTGAAGGGCAGCAGCACCCTGGGGATGTTGAGCTTGGAGGAGGAGGCGATGGTGAGGTGAAGGGAAAGGAGAGGTAGAGGGTTGAGGAGGAGGAGGAGAAGAGGCACGGAGGGAGCCATACTCCGGTGGGGGCGGGAAAGGGCGGTTGAACCGGCGGCGGAGGGACGTTAATGGCGGGGCAGGGCGCGCGCCCCCGGGGGGCGCCACCCCTGAGGTAATTTCTAGTGGCGCCAACAGCGACAGGGACGGCCGCCAAGTCAAACCGCCGCCGGTTTGTGCGGCTAAAATGTCGCCTGCCTTGGGGAAGGAGCCGGGGCCCCCGGTGGATTTACCTCAGCCGGCCTGGAGGGGGTTTTTAGGTGAGTTTCTACCGGGTGCTGTTTTGCCACCCGACATGGGGTGTTCAGGCCCCAGAGAGCACCTTCTCCCAGCCCTGTTGAAGGCAGCGATACCTAAGGCAGGTTTTATGTAGTTTCTAAGTGGTTAAACTGTAGAGAATCTTCTAGAGAAGAAACGTAGCTATTTTAGCAACCATCCCAAATGGTTTCAAGGACTTGGTAAGATCAGAAAGGATGTCTGTGGTCCTGAGACCATCGTGACCTAAGAGAGGGATGCAATAAATACGGACATTGTCTGTCAAACAGGTGGTAGCAGGGAGATCATTAGTTTTAATGAACAATTAAGCAATTAGAATGTTTCACCAACGTGAAACGTGAGTCAAAACCAGGTGAAGAAGATGAAGAATGAAGAAGAAACGACCCTCACTCAAAATGAGGACCACCAGAAGGCACAACTATGTATGCCCAAAAGCTTATTATAATATGTGAATGAATTCTTGGAAATGCAATGAATATGCTAATGTTTTCTTGGAATCACATTGATTATGTATACCTGTTGTGTATAAATTTAATTTGACAACAGTATTTGGTGTGCACAATAGGAGGAGCCCTGTGCACCTCGTGCTGCAATAAAGAATGCCTGCTTTCCGAACTTTCAGTTGAGTCTTAGAAAGTTTTACCTGCCGGTTTGCAGTAACAGTAGAGTAGCTGAGGTGGTGGGATTTTTTAAAAAAATAGGACCTATGGATTAAAAAAGCACCCACACAACACCTAAACAGATTAAATCCAAAATCCTCTGGATTAGAAAACCCTGAAAAATAAATCCATCAAGGGTATGGTTACATCACATGCTATACTCTTTAAGTGTTTACATTATAGTACTTACAGTGATACTGTACTACAGATACAGTACTAACAGCTAAGGTAAACAACAGTTCTTTTGTCATAAAACCACTGCTTGTCTGCATCCTTATATCCTTCAAGTAAGAAGACTTATTTTCCTGTATTCTTTGTGTCATAGGGGAAGAAAAAAATAAAATGTAGGCAAAGTGCAGAAAAAGGTGAAGAAGTCGAGATGAGGAACTTGGTGGTTGGTGAACTCTACAAACCAGGTGAATGCCACAAGCGTTCTTGGTCTGAGTCGCTTGGAGCTCCTCCAAGAGGCACAGTAAGTAGCTGGATTTCATCAGCCAGCCTAACAGGATCTTGACCTTTTCCTGCATATTGCTCAAAAGTGTGGTGGGATGGCATGGGAAGTAGGACATTGTTGGAAGAAGAAGGAGGAGGGAAGTTTTAACCAGCACTGACGAATCTGTGATCATTTAAGCATGTTCAGAGCCTGGAATGGAATTCAGGACCTGCAAGTCTCAATTGTATTTTCTTTTTTTTTACCCTATATTTTGTAAACATACTGCAAAATGTGTATTTTATCTCCTAGTGGTGATCAGACTTTGTCATGGATGACATTGTACTACTCAGTTTGCTTTGTTACAGAAGACTTAAATGAGCTGGTGATTTATGTGGGGATAAACACAATTCTTTATGATGGAATTTCTGTGTATTTAATAGTTTGCTTTTTTAGAAACTTTGAACACACCTGAAAGCACTCTGAAAGACCATTTTATTTTGTAGGTCAAAAGTCAGGCTGGTATTGCAGTCTTCGTTTGGCCTTGTTATCGGTATGCATTCATATGTATCATCATTTCAACACATGTTTAATGGTCGGCTCTCTTCACCATTCATGGTACATGGGAAAAGTCATGCTCCTGGAATTAATTAAAGCTATTTAGTGAATGAAGTTATTGTGTGGAGTATCTGTCATTACCTATGACAGAGGGATGGCATATATTCAGTGAGAGAAGGAATTCTAAGAAGAGGAGAATCGTCTTTGAATTAAAATATTTGAATTCTGCCTGGGAAGATCAAATGCTGTCCAAGGACACCACCTGACAGTTTAACCATTTCTAATTTAGGGAGTACAGAAGTTTACCAATTCTCATCTATTATAAGCGAGTAAACTTATACAGGACTTTTTATTTTATGCTTATACAGGACTAGTGTTTGGGTTTTTTTCAATGTTTATTCACCTAGTGTTTTATTTATCAGTACCTCAGCTCTTCCATTTTCTATCCCAGAGGACTGTGTGATGGACAGTTCACTTCTCACTGCGGCTTCTCATGGTATATTACTCATTTTCTGAATGCACATCTTGAAATTGTGTGGTCTGATTTAGAGAAGAGCTGAACTTTACAGCTGCAATTTAAGTCACTGGGAGCTGAGCCCAGAATGATATATGGTATTAAAAGCTCTGGCAAATCAAGCTGCTACACCTTACATCGCTCCCCTAAATACAGTTACTTTTTTTTCTTTACCCTTTCTGTCAATCAATCTATAACTTTCCTTCATAGGCATATTATGAACATAAGTTCAGTAAACACTCAGCTATTAGGGAGGGATGTGATAAAATAGCTCATGATTAAATCAATCCAATGTGTTTACAGTTAGTACAATTACAACTGAGTAGATAAGATGTAGATAGCGAGTACCTTACATCCTGTGCCGCGAATGAGGTGAGAAAACGTCTGTATCCCAGTACTTCCCAGCTTTTAAAGGTGGGGTTTGCAATCTCAGCATGGTTTTACTTTCTTTCATCAGCAGCGTGTGGCGATGAGTATTCAGTGTGTAACAGGAAAATTATTGTTGTTCTCAAATACTTCTTAGACTTGAGTGATTTTCATAAGGAACAGCAAAGTGCACTTAGGACCTTAAAGCTTTTCGATGAAACGTGATAGTTAAGTGCAGCAATTAAATATCTGACATCTTTCAGCGCATACTCAAAAGCATGCTACAGAGTTGTAAGAGTTGACAATTGTAAGGCAGGAGACATTGATGAACGACTCTGCAGCTTCTGTTACACAGTAAAATTATGCAGTGAATTCTGCTTACTTAAAGGGAAAGTCGTGCATTGCAGCAGTGCGTTAGCGTTAGAGACTATTTTGGATAGAGGAGAGTAGGTGAGGAGGCAGAGGATGCAGCTGCATGCTCGGTGAGAAGTTCCTGGAATCATGGGTTGACTTAGCATAGTTGCTGCAGTGCTCTACTGTCTTTTTGCATACAGCAGCGATGAGACCAGTGTGGAGTCGGTGCATCCCTCAGACTAAAATGTGAGTGAAAAGAAGGTAAAAATACCTCCAGTGGGTGGGACGGTCAGCTGGTGCGTGGAGGGTTGGAACAGTATTAGAAATCTAAGAGAATTTTACATGCATATCGATGTACACCTGAGTAAGTCTGATAAAGAACAAAAATGGAAGTTTCTTAGTCACAAAGAAGGCAATTATACAACGATAGAGGGAGTACTTTAATGAGCTGCTTAATTGTGAGAGGGATAAAGGCAAACAATAAATGGTTATTCTCCAAGCAGCTGAGCCATTTGTGGAAGAATTCTGTTTTACAGAGATTTAAGAGGCAATCAAAATACATGCAGTAAATAACAAAACACCAGGTGCTGATAATGTCTCCACTGAAACATGAAAATAAAAGGGGGAGAATTACTGAAAGATTTTATGAACTCACTTGGTTGGACTGAAGATCTTGAAAACACTCCCAGGGAAGCAAGGAGATGTATACTTGGATTAAATCTTTGAAATGAATCAGTTTCTGGTGGAAAGATATTTTTCATAAACCTAGAAAAAACATGTATCTGTATATCATGAGGTAATCTTCTGTTCACAATGAAGTAATTTTACATCCTTGCTCAAAAAAAAGAGAGTATTTGAATGGCAGAGCAATCATGGCACCTGTTTGCCCATCTTCCCTTTGAATTCCCTCAATACTTCCCCAGCCCCCAGATCTCAAGGGCATACAGCACGTGTGTCTCACGTCTGTGGGCACTACAAGGACTTACAGGTCTCATCATGTTTGGGAAGGCTAAACCGACTCGATGTGAGCACGCAGCGGGTATCTAACATTAGGGTTGTGCATATGTGCTTTCCTGGGTTGAGGCCCAAGTCTCTGAGAAATTTTGAATGAAGAAAACCTCAGGTTCTCAGGAAAAAAAGGTTACTAAAAACCATCCGGCCAAGAAACACCTGATTTTGTTTCCAGGCGTTTCATATTTTAAAATGTCTGAATAATTTAAAATCTTTAAAAATGCTTCTCTAAAAAAAAAAAAACCAAAACCAAAACTACAAAACAGACCAAACCACCAAAACCTACAACGCCGAATAATTGCAACTCAGAAGGTGAAATTCCAGCAAAATGCTAAGGCAGTGAGTTGTGGAAGATTATTTTAAAGCTAACTCAAACCAGTTCCAAGTAGAACCCTTGCAGGTATGTCTATATTCGTGTGTTAACAGTATAGGGCTGGTTCTGTGTAGTATCAGCTAAGTGCATTGTGTACAATTTAGGTGTAAGAACTGTCTCATTAAACTGGAAGAAACAGGGCTGCCACAGTAGAACGATGAAAAATATGCTGTGTTCTCATGCTCCTGAACCTCTCAAATAAAGTAATATTTGATTTAAAGGCTAAAGAGTGACTGGCAAATAATACTAACACGTTTAATGAAAAGAGTGTTCCTCGAGGGATGAAGCTGTGGCTGAGAAGAGACAGGGAGTTGCCTACCCCAGGCTGAGCAGGAGTTGAAAAGGGCAGGTTAACAGACTTGGAGAAAGAAAGTGGTCTGGGAATAGGAACTTAAGTTGAGAGTAACAGTCATGGGCCTTTTTTTGTGTCCGATTCTGTCTGTGATTAACCTGAATAAGTATCCTGCAAAAATGGCTGGGAAAGATGGTTTCTTCCTCCTTCTCAGGCTGCATCTTGTAACGCTTCAGCTGCCCGCTTTGTGTCTCTCGCCCATCGCTGAGCTCAAAGGGCAGTGCTTTATGCCTATTTCCTGGCTGAGCAGCTCTATGGCTTTCATTGCTGTGCTTTTTTTCCTGCTTAGTTTGCTGTCTGGTTCCATCCTCATAGCTGCAGAGCCTCACAAAATATCTCCACCGAAGAAAACATCAGCACAAGAATTACTTAAAGTAGTCCAATATATGAAAAGACACTTAAAACCCACTCAATACAGGAACAAGATTACAACTGGTATCCCCTAGTACTAGCAAAAGGCTTATGGGAATTAGCAGTTCATAGATTATTGTATTTGAGCATGTGGTTATAACCATCCATTATTTAAAAACCCAATGGAAGATCTTACATACATACAAATGTACACAGTGGTTAAGCTTGACTGGCAAAACTCATTAATTAGGCATTGATCCTGCTGCCAGAAGCACACGGGATACATTCCTGCTTCTGCATTAAGTCTGTTCAGCTGCTCCCGTCTCCCTACAGAGATCTAATTGCAAGAGGGGGCATTACACTTCATTACTTTAAAATAAGTATTCTGCTCTTCCAGAGTACATAAAACAACATTCCTTTTTCAATTATTTCTTTATCGCTTTCTCTACTAGTAGAGTTTTCACATTCCATTTACCCTATTGGACTTTCTGTATTTTCATACTCCTGTTGAAGATTTTATGAGGACATCCTCTCAGCCTTGCGACAGAGGTAATGATGGATTGACAGCATCTATAAAACTGAACGCTTTGGTTATCCCTGCCAGTACTTCCCTTCCAAGCAAAGAGGTTTGGCCAAAGGAAGGCATAAATGCACTGAATTTCAAAAATTAAAGCAGCCAGTTAAGGGTAATAAGGAAGGACAAAACTCCATCAAGGTTGATTTCCTTCGAATTATTCAGAAGGAACACTTGTGTTTAGAAAATTGGTAATAGAATGGCCAAACCTGACAATCTTTGCATAGTCTAATCTGCAGGGATGTCACTGGGAGTTTTGAATGTGGACCAGGTAAGAAACTCTGTGTCCCAAAAGAGAAATGTAGCTTTTTTTTTAAATCTCTGTTGCTATCGTATAAACGAATTTGATATGTAAGCCTTTCCCAGATGGTATAAAACCCCAAGACCTTAATAAATTATTCAGGATGAGTCTGATAACACTGAGATTATGAAACAGTTAACATCAGATAAAAATAATGGTTTTTCACTTCAGAGTTTATCTACCTTTCTAATGTAAATTTCTGGTTATTAAAGTAGGTTATTTATAGCTGTCTTTTCAAACTGTTACATAATAGTGCTTTTGCCGTGTGCCTTTTTCCCCAGATAGAAATCCCATTGATGAGCTATTCACCCGACAACTGAATGAGTGCCTGAGTGATGGGAACCCACAAGAAACAGACAAGTAACAAAAACCCCAACCTTTCCTTCTGCCTGAAATACATCAGGGAAATTTAGGAGAGCATAGTAGTCTTAAATCTTGAAAGCAATTACTACAATGTATAAATAGGCGTGTGAATATGTTTAATGACTTAGTTAACTGTACTATGGAAACGGGATTACGATCTTTTCAAGGTGACTTGGTTTCAAATTACGGTGTGTCCACCTCAGAACTTTTAAGTGGGCAATCAAGTGCAATAATTCTGAGTCTTTTTAAATGTTAACACAGTTCTGAATTGGTTTGTTATTTTTTATGCTTTAAACACCAACATGGGACAATTTATAAAAAACTCCATCATGTTTTCTGTTTTTCCCATTCAGCAGCAGTCTGCTGACCTTATGTTTCTCAGCACTGGCAGTGATCTAGAGGGCTTCTGTACCCCACGGCAAGGCTGTCAGGTGTCCTCTGTTTCTACATATATACTGGCAGTATATAGTATGCATTTAAACTGTAAAATTACATTTTTTCATTCAAAATAAATTCAATTTTTTCCATTTGAATGTGTGCATAAGTACAACAAAT